CCTCCTCCTCCTCCTCCTCCTCCTCCTCCTCCTCCTCATAAAAGTGTTCAGTTGCCTTCCAGGAAAAACTATAGACTATCCTTTCATATTTGGTAATAAAAACAATAACAACATAATCCAATGCTTGTCCATTCAAAAGTAAATTCTACTGAAATCAATACATCCTGTTTTCAGATAAATATGGATAAGATAAACAATCATATAAAAATAACAGGCACAAATAAAAACAAGCTAAATAATACCTCCATCATTCTCAAGTCTTTTGAACGATTACAACTGAATTGCCACGTAGAACTCTGAACCTGTTTCTCTGCAACTACATCTAAGCAATTAGATAATTTAAAAATAAGTGCTTAAAAAGTATTAAAATAAATGGAAAGAACAAAAATAGAAGAACAAAATTAATGAAAGAAACTATTGCAGGTCATATTGATATCTGGTTGCAGTGAATTTTCAGACATCAAGTTAAGAACAAATGAGAAAAAAATACTGAATTCCTTGAACAAAGACAAGAAGAGGATGAACATAAGGTACAAGCTGAAACTTAAAATTATTTTTGAGTGAAATATAATTTTTATAACAGCAACATTTTTGTCCTGTGCATAGTGGTATATGCTTATAACCTAAGTGCTATGTTGTTATAAATTCTGTCCTACTTAGAATTAATTCTAGTTCACCTCAGAGATGTCAGCGCCTGGGCAAAGACTTTCCTGGCCATACCCTCTATCTGGTCTTCCAGCAAGAGCCCCAAATTCAGAAGGACTCCCAGATTGCAAACCTGCCGTTCTTGGGGGAGCACAATCTAGTCAAGAAACTATGATGGTATTTTTCTGGAATCAGTAGACTTTAACCCAAACTTGCTTGGATTGAGTCTGAGCCTGTTTCTCCCCTTCCAGGCCTCCAAACACTAGATCATAACTTCTAACACATCTCCCATTTGGTAGGATGAGACAGCTTTGTTTCATTCACATGTTGATGTTGCCTCACTGAACTGTAGTATAATCTCTCCCGGCACGTTTGGATATTAAATAAGATTGGGGAAAGCACTGAGCCCTGAGATACCCCATACTGGAGGGGCCCACCTGTCCCCTCCAACCACAGACTGGACCACTTACTCAGTAAGGGATAGAAATGCTGTAAAATGGTGCCTTCAAACCCATACAGGTGGTCCAGTAGGATACTGTGACCAACACTATTGGAGGCTGCTGAAGGGTCCAGTAGGCAAGGATGGTTACTCTCCTCCCATCCCAATGAACCCACTTCTTCCAATCCACAGGATCAAAACCATCTTGGCTAACATCACAAGATGATACATCTGTCATCTCAGATTCTTTCTATCCAGCTTCCAACTTAGAATGAATAAGAACAATTTTATATTCAAAATGCTCAACAAAAGAAACACAAAATTTACAATAGCTTGATCTTCTGGCCAATGAGGACCCAGAGCACTCTAAACCGTGCACCTGACTTTCCACAGATGCAATAAGGTAGAGAAGCAAGCCTGCTCTGCTGATTGTATCACAACAGAGTAAGCTCAGATCTCAGCTTTGTGTCCAGTTGTACTCACTACATTTCCTGCCAGCATCAGCCCAGACATCTCTTTACCTGTTTTTGAGAGCTCTCAAAAAACTAGTAGCTCACAGGGATCAGTGGGTGGGGAGCCATCTCTCATGGGTAATCCTATCTAATGCCTTTGTTGACTTCATATTAGATAGGCTAACAAAGCTCCCAATAGAAATGCCCCCCCCCCCCCATCTCTGAGGAATTCTCCAAGCACTATCTGTAAAACCTCTGGATCCATCCTCATTCTTTCACTCAAGTCTATCCTCTTTTTTTTCCTTTGGTTCTCTTTCTTCTTTCCCAATTTCTTTCACCAATGCATGATTGATTGATTATTTATATATTAAACATACTTTTATACCGCCACAATAAAAGTTGGTGGTTTACATAAAAAATACAATACCATATAAAAATAAAAAATACAACTGATTATGTGCCATCAACTTGGTGTTGACTGTTAGCAACCACATAGATAATCTTCAAGATGATCTGTCCCCAACCTTGTTCTTCAAACCTTCCAAAGGTGCATACATTGCTGATGTAAATTGAGACCATCCATCTTCCTGCTGGTCATCTTTTTCTCTTTCCTTCTACCTTTCCCAGTATTATAGACTTCTCAAGAGAGTTAGGTCTTTGCATAATGTGTCCTAAATATGATGATTTGAGCCTGGTAATCTGTGCCTCAAATTAGAGTTCTAGATTCATTTTTTCTATGATCCATCTGTTTGTTTTCTTGGCTATCCATGGTATTCTCAGGAGTCTTTTCCAACACTAACGTTCAAAAGTGTTAATACTCTCTCTATCCTGCTTCTTCAAAATCCAACTTTTGCTTTCATAAACTTCATAGGGTAAACCGTTAGTTGTATGATTCTGATACAGTGGTACCTCGGGATACGAACACCTCTACTAACGAACTTTTCAGGTTACGACCAGC